TAAGGAAATATTATTTAGCTACTGTAAGATATTATAGACAATAGTCATGGAATACAACATCAACCCTTGCCATCTTGGCCACAGGTCAGAGGGCGAGTAGAGCAAAGTAGGTAGTTAGAGAAGCCCCGAGACATGCTTCACTGCAAACACCTGTGTCCCAGGCCATGGGAGGGCAGAGTCTGGGTTCAAGTAGCTTGTTGGGGAGTTTTGATTGGCTGATTAAGGTAGAATGACACAAACTACATGAAATCTAAGAGAATCTCAAAGGCAGAAGGAAGCTCAAATATCTCTAACCTGAACTATTTATTTAATAGAAGAGGAGAATAAGGAAAATAGAGAAAGGAAAATGATTTGGTGGTTCTTAGCTTGGATCCTGCATCACCCAGCTCCAGTTCTAATTACAAGCTATTTGAACTCCATCAACTTAGATGTCCCTGTTTATGTATAATATAAATATAATAATAGGGCTTCTCTCCTTGGGTTGTCATGAGTCTTAAATGTGATCATGTATATAAAGAGCTGTGAAGACGCTTTGGCAAATAATAGGCCCATAGAAACGATTACCAATTACTATTTTATTAGTGTTTCTTCTTATTATTATCATTTCTGTAAGACTATTCCTTATGAGGAGTGCCTGTCTTTGAGGGTGGTTTTACTGAGAATTTCTCCCCGTCACAGCTTTTTAAAAAATGAAATTTTGACAAGCTGTGGGTGCATTACTGTGAAAATATACCCATCCTTCAAAACATAGAATTTTTTTTTTTTTGAAGCACAAAGGAGAACCTTAAACAAAGCCTGCATGCAAATCAAAATGCTGGTACCACTTTATGGCCTAGCATGTTGTCTACATAGCCCTGGCTGCCTGGGTTACCCCTCCCTCTTCAATCTACGCAGACACATGTCCCTACTCCATGGCCTCCCACTGATGTGGCCCCCACCCCCATATAATGCATTCACTCTTCTCCCAGGCTGTTTGGGCTCCAAGCACACCCCTCTCTTGCTTCACTGTAAAGTGACATGTTTTACTATAGTTTTGCCTCTGCCTCTGCCTCTGTCTGCCCATTCATCTGGGAGTTCCTGAGGAAAGAGGCTGTGCCTGATTATTTATTAATACATCATGTTCACAGTCTCATTGCTAATCTCAGTACCTGGCATATAGGATGCAAAACTTTACTGCAGGTCTTTGCAACTTCTTTTATAGCAAATATAATTAAAAATGTATCAGAGGTACCATTTAAACAACACTAAACTGAACAGTCATGTTCAAATACCCGTGAAAAATAATATTATCAAGAAAAATACTGCCAGTTCCTTTTAAGTGAAACATTTCAACTGTTTCATTAAATAAATCCTGTTTGCTTGTATCTTGCTTAATGTTGTAACTCAAAGTAATTTTGAGTCTTGATTTGAACATTTTTAGAATTGAAAATTCCCTAAGCTGCTTGTCATCAGGCCAGGAGGTTTATTCAACACATCTGAGTTGAGGTTGCCTCAAACAGCCCTGCCTTTCTGCTCTTGACTAGTAAATGAAGGACTCGAAGAGGTAAAGATTGCCACCAAGCAAGGCTGCTTAAACAAAGACAAATACAGAACCTGTAGAGTCCAGGTGCAGCTATTTAACAGTCTGTGCCTCAGTTTACACATCTGTACAGTAGGAATAACAATAGGGTGATTGTGTGGATTATGTGATTTCCAGTGCTTGAATTTGTTTAGCAAAAGGCTTTTAGTAAGGAAGGACCCTGTCTGGCCCAGCTGTTGTTATTGCCAACAGCTCCATTAAGATGGGGAAACAGCACCCTGCAGACACCTGTCATTAGCGGGGTGAGATACACACCCTCTTTTTGTGAAACAGCAGCCACAGGCCAAGATGGAAACGTGTAGGTCAGCATGGAAGAGAGATTTCCCCCAAATCTTCTGAAGTATTTAGGCTCATTGCAAAGGAGTAAAGCACACATAACCACACACACATGCTCTTTCCAAAAGTAAGCTGTTGCTTCTTTTCTCCCACAGCGCAGGGTTGGGCATTATTGAAAGTGCTCTGGGAATATGTTTCTGTGCGTTTGTCTTCTTGCTTTACTCCGAGTGTCTGATGAGGAGCACATGCCTTTCCAAAGGAGCGAGCACAGCAGGAGTCAACACTATATTTCCTGCCTGGGCTGAGTGGGGCCCAGTCATCACCAGACTCTTCCTGGCAACCAACTATATTCTTCAGATCCTGAAGTCATGGGCATTAGAAACTGGGGCTGTGGCTGGGGGTGTGGATGGAAGACTGGGAGCAATGGGAAACCTTCCTAAGCAATTTGTAGATACACATTTACAAAGCTGCATAGGTTTGTGTTCAAAATCTGCCTGGGTACAAATCTTACCTCATCACTCACTAGGTCTGTGACTATGGACAATTTATACAACCTCTCTGAGACTAATCTGCCACATGCAAAGAGTTCTGGAAGGGATACAGGGCATGAAAATAGAACACTTGACTTTAGCAGGTGTCCGTCTGTCTGCCCAGACCTAAGCGGTTATGAACATGGCCTGTAGTACTCACCACAAAGCAGCTCTAGGATGCCCTTCAGCTACTTTCTAAACATTGGAGACAAAATTTTCTCTGTGAAAGGTAAAATGACAAAAAATAAAAGCCATATAGTGTATGTTTCTGTATGACTGGAGTCCTTTCTATCATACACACAGGCACACACACAAATACACACATAGACACAAACACATGCACGACACCTGAACATAAGTGCATAGATGCGCATGCAGTCACACCTACCTTCATCATTCCTATGTGTATTTTACATATTAATTCAAACACCACTTCCTCAGAATAACCTTCCCTGGCCCCTGGACTTGTAGTCGAGGTCTGTGCTATTATAATACCCTTCGATTTTCCTTCTTTGGTTTTTCATAGTTTGTAATTACAATTTAGTTTGACAGTGGGTTAATGTCTAGATCAGGGTAATCAGTGTCTCAGTTTGCCCAGGATGGAGGCTTCTGCAGGACACAGATGTTCAATGCCAAAACTGGGAGCATTCTGGCCAACCCTGAACGATTGGCATCTAGTCTGCCCTCTTTCTCAGCAGTGTGTAGGCCATGCTCCATGAAAGTGGACGCTGCTTTCTTGTTTACCATTTACAGGGCACAGGCTGAGCTCACAATAGGAGATTAGAAAACATCTCTTGAACCAATAAAGGAATGGTTTATATGTCAGCATCAGCCAGATTGGCTTGCCTCCAGAAACCTCCATTTTCCTTCCTCAGGTGATAATTCTCATGTCAGTTGTTAAATGTGCCTTATTTTTATATAAACTACATCTATTTAAGGGAATATAAATTTGAAAATACTGTGTCACTTCCTTATCTTTCCTTACCTCCCAACCAGTTTTTGGATGGGAAATCATTAGTTTAGTGGAAAAAGAAGCAGGTTGCGGGTTCCAGACACTGAAGTGTTTGTTCTGCTCTGCTAAAATGCTGGCCTGTAAGTTTCATGAGGGCAGGAGTTGTGGACAGTCACTTAGATATTCCTAGGGTCCAGGATAATACCAAGCATGTTTTGGGGCTAAATAAATAGTTCTAAGATAAACAAATGAATAGATTCTTTGCTCAGCCTGTAGATGTAGGGGAGTCACTAGACCAGGCACACCAGAGTCCCTTTCCCTCCTCACCTTCGAACTATACTTTCCACAACCATAAATATGACTTCATGACTTCCCTTCCTAGTGGCTGGATGAGAGTTTGTGTCATTCCAGATGCATGACGCCTGTGTGGCCTATCCCTGCCTGTCCCATTGTCCTTCTTTATATGTGATAGCTCTACATTTCTTATTTTTTTTTAAGATTTATTTATTTATGCATATAAGAACTGGGTTACAGGCCAGAGATTTGGGTGAGAGGACCCACCAGAGACAGAGTGGGGAGCAGAACAGGCAGATTGACAAAGTACACTGCTGAGGGGAGCAGCAGGCGGGTCAGGAGAGGTCTGCCACACTTCTACTTTTCATTTTTTGAGGAAACTTCATGCTGTTTTCTTTTGAGACTGTTCTTGAACAGTATATATAAGGGCACTTTTTTCTCCATATCTTCATCAACACTTGTTATTTTGCTAATTTATTTATTTTTGAAAGATTTATTTATGCATACAGAACTGGGGTACTGGCCAGAGGTGAGGGGCCATGAGAGAATTCACCAGAGACAGAGTGGGGAGCAGAACAGGCCAACTTACGAAGTACACTGCTGTGGGGAGCAGTGGGTGGGTCAGGAGAGATCTTCTGCACCATGTGTGTCACCTCTGAGATGGGAATCAATCTCATGCTGAAGTGGCTTTAGCTTCCTAGTGCTATGTTTTAACCCACTGCGCCACCAGGGAGGGCCCTATTTTGCTAATTTAGCATGACATATTTTGTTCAATTGTTGTTGTCAATTGGCTGAGTGTTTCTGGTGATCTGGATGTGCCAGCTGCTTGTTGACTGGGAGGGTTTGCTGGTCTTGTTTAGGTTCCCACCTGCAGCTGGGGCATCGGAGCCATTGCAGTGGGTTTTATGCTTTCATGGCCAACGAAGAGGCGCACAAGATCTGCAGTCCCGAGGCTGGCTCCAAGCACTGTCGCCATGCTACTTCCTCCTCATCCTATTGTCCAGAACAAATTACAAGTCAGACCTGTATTTAAGGGGCAAGAAAATGTTCCCCGCTTCATAGAAGAGCTGAGGAATCACATTACAGAGGGTGTGGAAATGGGGAGGCATCCTTGGAGGGGGAGGCAGCCAGGAAATGTCTCATCAGTTTCTTTCCAACTTTTCTTTTTTACTACTCTGACATCGAAATGAATTTATCAGAAAAGTTTCCGAAGATGAACTCTTGTCCTTCCTTGGGATTAGTGACATCCTCACCATAAAAGTCACTTAATATGCTGAATTACATGGCTATAGAATTATCAGAGAGGAGGAGGCTCCTTCTCGGGCTCTGAGGGTCACTGTTTTCATATACTTTTCCCCTTTCTTTCCAGATCAACAAGAACCCAATTTTTGTACCAGGAGTCTGGGGCCCCTATTTCTCAGCCATGGTCCCAGGGTTCTGGCTGAGTGAAGGTGGTCAAAGCGTCACTGGAAAACTGGTAAGTTGATGCTTTCTCCATATGATCTTTAATGTTTTTCTACCCTTGACCAGTGTCTTTTGTCCCACTGCCCAGATATCCAGGATCTGGAATGCAGACTCCTAGCTGAGAACTGCTGTTCTCTTAGCATCCAGACTAGCCGTGGTGCATGTGCAGCAGTAGTTTGCCAGAGGAACACATGTGGGTTCAGGCAGTGGTGACTAATGCCTCTTCTCACCTATCCTTAGCACGACTATACTTCTTCATGGCTAGAAGGATCTACTGTGTGAAAAGGACCATGTTAATCTCTAACCAGAATCCTTCAGTGGCTCCCCAGGACCCTCGGGCATAATACGATGGTTTTCTGGGTTCCTCATGTCCCCTCTGGTTTGTTCCCTCCAGCCTCACCCCTGTACTTGTCACTAGGCAAGATGGCCCTATGCACAGCTTCCCCACAGCTCATCTTAGTCCCCTTCTGCGTTTGCTTCTTTCCCTGCTCAGAGAATCCTTTGCCACTTTGATAATTTCACTTTTCCTCTAGGACATAATTTCAGTTCTTAGCACATTCTGTTATCTCCTTTATTTCCTCATCTGTCTTCCAGAAGGTTATGAGTTTTTTTAAAGTAAGGGCCATAATCACACTTAGTGTAACAAGCCCAGGGCCTGGTTCCTAGAGGTGCTTGATAAAAATACCCTTGGAATCATGGATTTGTGTAATAGGAGAACCAGAAGAGCTGTACTAGTGAGATGAGTACTATCCAGAGGTACAGGACAAAGTTGGTACAAAACTAGGTAAGTATAACTTTGCAGGGCACAAAGCATTTTTGCTGAGTTTTGAAAGATAAATAGGAACAAACTAGACAAAACAGGGTGGGGATGCTCTTCCAGGCAAGAATATTGGCACAGGAACAATGGGAGTGAAAAATAACAAGGCATACTTGAGCATAATTGCAAATGCTCCAGAGTTTCAGTTGTGGCATAAACTGTTGTTAAAAGAATAACTTACAATAAAAGAGAGCTGGGCAGGGACCACATCATAAGAAGTCCCCATAAACATGCTAAAGAATTGAACTTTATCTAGTGGACCAAGAGGAACCAGCAAAAGGTTGGAAGAATGAACTTGATATAGTTATATCTCCGCTATAACTCTCTGCCTGGTGACAGTGAGGAAAGAGGGCTGTAAGCACAGGGTTGGAGGTAGAGCGACCACTTTTAATGTGCTAGCCTGCAGACAAAAAGCCATGAGGGCTTGAATGAGGAACGTGTGTATGAAGACAGAATTGAGGCTCAGAGATCAGCAGGCCTCAGAAGGAATGGAGGAAGAAAGCTAGGGGAAATGAGACCTCAGTTCACTTACCCAATCTTCCATTTTCTATGTTATGTTGAAATCATCTGTTTATCATCTCATTCCCCTACCAAAACTTCTAAATGTTTAGCTAAATCCAAAGCTGGGCAGGCATGCAAATAGCCATTAGTTTCCATTTCTTAGCATATTGCGACTTTATACTGGACTCCCTCAAATTCTCTGTAAAAGCCTGTGGAAGCATAGGTAGACGAATGAACTCAGAGGGCATGTTCTGTGCCTTTGCTTTTGTGCAAGCCTATAAAGATGAATATAATGAACTAGACCCCATCAAACCCTGAATTGAATAAGCTCATTGTCCAAAAGGGAAGTTTAGTGATTATAAAATAACATCTCATTGCTGTTATAACCAGAGCTAGAAAAATTGAGACCACCATATGCTGAAGTTGAAATGGGACTTGAGCTTTGTGTGCTCCTATTTTAAAGTAATGTCATGTATTTGCACAATTTTCTACTATTCATTCCCATTCTATGACACATTGAGAACCCATTACTGAAATATAGTCTGTTTTAACCCCACCTCATGGTCTAATCATCCTTAGCAGACCCAGGACTCATAAATGACACAATCCAGAGGCATGTTTTAAGGAAAAGAACGATCCCTTAAACCACCTCTTTGTGCATGATGCATTGTCCATGAAGCTGTCCGTCAACAGGTTTTTGGAGACTTGGTATGCAAATTAAACATCTGTGTTAGTCTGGAAAAGCTTACCCCAGTGTTTGGCTCAAAGTTTGAGCTGTTGCCATGGATATAAGCTTTCTTTACCCAAACGTATGACAAATCTTTGTGGACGAGAATTGGGTATGCCTGTTTCCCGAGTCTGAATTTAAATAAAAAATATGACCTCTTTCTTGCCATCAATAAAATCTTCAGATAATAGTCCCCTGGGATTTTTCAGCTGGAGTCATGGTGATTTCTGGTCTTTATCTAGTTAGTTGATTTTATATCAATGAATCAAAAAGTATGTAGCTGCACTTTGGGCTATTCCACATACAGAGTTTATGGACATGGTCGTCGAGTCCAATTGACCTAGGAGGTACAAAGTGAAATTTTATAAAAATCTGAAAGCTTGTCCAATGGGGCAGAGACTGAATCTGTACAAAACAGATTGACCAGTAAAGCCTCAGTCCATAGAAGCCAAGCAAAGAAACAGAAACTACCTATGAGAAAATGAGGTGAAATAAGAGTAACAATAATGAAGACAGTAACAACAGAAATGACACCTTTATGGAATGTACTTTCTCTTAATGGAAGTGTGATCTTGTTAACCCTTGAATTACATGCAAAATAATCACAAGACCTGCTATTTATTTTGAAGGTTTATTTTCCAGTCTTAGTTCTAAGAGCTTTTTATATACTCTTTCCTTTCAACCTCCTCCCTTATGACCAGGGCTACTCAACGGAGAGCTAGCCTCAGGAAGTCAGGTGGATGCATGAGACACTCACTACGGGCACACTGTTGTGCTTGTTACAGTTATGGTTGTTTCTTTGCATGGGGGAAGGGAAGAACGCTAGTCTCTTCAGGTCCATATAAGGACACTAATCCAGTTCGTGAGAGTCCCAGCCTCTTGACCTTGTCACCTCCCCAAGGTCCCTCTTCCCAATGCCACCTTATTAGTGTATAGTATTTCCATGTATGAATTTGGGGAAGATATAAACATTCAGTCACCCTTTCTAGTGAAATTTTCTAGTGAAACTGCAGCTAGTGAAATTTTCCTAAATTACAGACATGACCCTGTCATTCTTGATTGTTCTCCCATTACCTGTAGAATGAAGTCTAAATTCTTAAGAGTGATGCCTGTTTATGCAAGCAATATTTGTAGAGTGCTTACTGTGTGTGTGTGTTTTTAATTATTTATGAATATAAGAGCAGGAGTATATGCCAGAGGTATGGGGTGGAGGTGGGTGAGAGGATTCACTAGAGACAGAATGGGGAGTAGAACAGGCAGATCTACTGAAATATACTGCTGAGGGGAGCAGCAGGCAAGACAGGAGAGGTCTGCTGTGACATGTGAGTCAGCTCCCTGGCTGGGGATTGAACTGGTGCTGCAGTGGCTACCAATAGCTTCATAACACTGAGACGTAACCCCTTGTGCCATCAAAGAGGCCCTCTTATTATGTTTGAAGCACTCTTTTGAGTGAGAAAAAGTGAATGAAACAATCCCTTTTGGCTGACCTCCAAAGACCTATCCCCTTGTTAAGAGCAGAAAGATGCTACACGATAAATAAAATAAAATGAAAAAAATAGTTTATAATTGGTGTAAGTTATGAAAATATAGTGAAAGCAAGCTGTGAGTTCAGGTGAACAGTTTGCAAGCTTTGAGAAGGCTATCAGGGCGGCCTTCATTGATGTGACTTTCAAACAACAAGGAAGATAAGGAAGTTAGCATTTAGAAACCTAGGAGAAGAACATACCAGGCCTAGGGAATAACCAGTGCAAAGATCCTGAGGCGGTTGTTTGTCTGGGGTATTATAAGAGCAGCAAAGAGACCATATGAATGGAGCAGAGTGAACCAAAATATGAATTGCAGGGATAAGTTCAAAGATATAATATGCGTTATATTAGTGGTCCAGGTAAGAATGTTGGCTTTTATCTGGGTGGAACGAAAGCCACTAAAGAACATCAAACCCAGGGGAGAGTGATATGGTTCAGGGTTTAAAAGTATGGTTTAAAACCATCCTGCTGCCTGCTCTGTTGGGTTAGACTGTGGGGTGTGTTGGGGGGAGGGGGATACAAAAAGACAGAGGAGAGAATCCATTGTAGTAAAGCAGCTGAGATCTGATGATAATATTAATAGAACTCTTAAAAAAGTGTTCAAAATTGGGGCCCTCCCTGGTGGCGCAGTGGGTTAAAGCACAGCACTAAGAAGCTAAAGCCACTATTGCATGAGTTCGATTTCTGCCTGCCCCGGAGGTGACCACATGGTGGGGCAGACCTCTCCTGACCCGCCTGTTGCTCCCCTGAGCAGTGTACTTCGTTGATCTGCCTGTCCTGCTCCCCACTCTGTCTCTAGTGAAGCCTCTCGCCACCCCTGAGCCTCTGGCCTGTACCCCAGTTCTGTATGCACAAATAAATAAATCTTAAAAAAAAAAGTGTTCAAAATTGGGGTATATTTTGAAACTAGAGCAAAAAATTTCCTGATGAGGAAAAAGAAGAGGTACAGGCTTTTGAAAGATGGCTTTGCTATCACTGGAGCAGAGAGACTTCTCCATTTCCTCTTGCCAGAGGCTGGGAGAGGGAGGCCGGAATCAGGGATCACTCTTGAGTTTTCTGACTTACGTACTTCCTAAGTTGAGCCTCCATTATTTGTCTTCATCTCAGTAAAGAATGCCATCATTTATATGTTTATTAAAGCCCGAAAATAAAGATTAAGTCTCAATTCCTCCTCTCTTCTCTTTGCTTACATTCAATCCATCATAAAGTCCATTTATTGTAACTCTAAAAGGTAGACCAGCAATGCAGCTACTTTTCTTTACCTTCACTCCTAGCACCAGTGACCATTACCTCTCAATGCATTTGTTGTTTTTTTTTCTTTAAAAATTTGTTTATGCATACAAGAACTGGGGTACAGGCCAGAGATGCCAAGGGTGAGAGAATTTACCAGAGACAGAGTAGGGAGCAAAACAGACAGCTCTACTGAAATACACTGCTGAGGG